CTGCAGCGCCAAAGCTCCAGCTTCGTCTTCGAGGTACCTGCAGCACGGCGCCATCTTCGGAGGTTAGTACCTGGCACATAAAAGAGAGAGAGAGAGAGTTCTTCTTCTTCCTCCTCTCAGTCCACCATCTCTTCCTCACCCTCTCGCTATCTGACTTCTTGGCAGCAGCAGACTACGAACGAGGGTGAGAGAGGTTACTAGCAGGGAATACAGGCAGAGGTTACAGTGGGCGTGTTGCCCAGGATCTGATTTGACATTTCTGAGGCAGGCATTGATTGGACATCGGCAAGAGACTATTTTCGGACGTCGCTATTGCGACCTTGGTCTTCTCCCTCTCCTCCATCTTCGTCCTTCCTCTCCCCCATCTCTCATCTATGGTATCTCCCCATGTGCGTGTGCAAGGAGGGACCTTTCTTCTTCGTTTGCGGTCCCTCCTCCTCCTCTCACATGGGTGATGTATGATGGGATGTCGTGTTAGTCCCGATCAGGTCAGGACTTGTCTCAAAGTCTTCCACTGCGCTATTATGTGCCATTTTGTATGTATCAGGATGTACACTGCTTGTTGAGATTCCACAAACACTGCATTGTCCATTCAGTCCTTTCCATCACCTTGCAGATCCTTGGTTGTACATACATTGCCCAACTGGGCATGTAACAGTTGGTATCAGAGCACTGCATGTGAATCAGGACAACCTGATCTGACATGTGTGGGGGGACTAATTAGTTGATTAGTCTTTACTGATTGATTGATTGATTGATTGATTGATTAGAGCATACTAATTAGCCCCCAAAATCACGATTTAAACCTAACTGCCGAAAATCCTTTTTTTTTTTCTTTTCTTGGATTTTGTTTTCCCCACTATTTCTGTTGTGGACAATCACAATAGCGCAACACTTGAAATTTCCGTTTTCGTTTTTCTTCTGAAAATTCAAAATTTTGTTGTTGCAATTTCCCGTTATTTGGAAATCTGGAATTTTTTTTTTTGAATTTTCGAAATTCGTTGGAAAACGGTACGGGAAATCCCTCTTGCAGTCACCATTTTCCAAACTGCGCATACTCTCATCTGAGTAATTCCGAATTTTTATTTATTTATTTATTTTTCGGAATTCTTTTACTCGCAATTTTTTTTTTCGCAGTTCTATTACTATCTGATAATCATTTGCAGTCGGAAAGTTCAATTTTTTTTCTCATTGGTAATTTTGCACTTCAGGGGGAAGTGGGAGACCCACTGAACTTGCAAAGTTCAACTTTTCTTTTTGATAAGTGGCTCGTTATCTGGGCGATTTAACCCACCCCAACCCATCTATGTTGTTGCCCCCTCTGGCCATATCTTCTCTATTTGTCTTCGGGTACCCCCTGCGGCGACATTTGTAAGTTGCCATGTCAGCAGGCCACGTCAGCAGAGCACGTCAGCAGGACATGTCAGCTGACAGCCGCGCCACATCAGCAGCCGAACAGTGCCACGTCAGTAGTCCTCCGGCCTGGTCTATGCTCACGCGCTTGCAAACAGCCGGCGTGGATCAGAAGTCCGGGGAAATGGTCGAGGCCTATCAAGCCCGGATGCTGGCTTTGATTACCGAAGCCAAGAAACGGGCGGATGAGGTAGCAGCCACAGAGAACAAGAAGGCAGACGACGCTGAGAAGGCTTGGCTGTTGGCAATCGAACAGCAGCGCCAGCAAGACGAGGCAGCAGCAAAGGCTGCCGATGAAGAACGAAATCAACAACGCGAGAAGATATTCAACGGAGAGCGAGCTTTGCTCACAATGGCAGCGGACTGGCGGGCCGCGAGAGTGAAAGCAAGATCGCTCTACTCCTCTCCCATTTCACGGATCTCCTGACAATGTGCATTGCACAGCAGGAGGACATCCACAACCTTGACGATGTGGTTCACACTCACAACCAGGCGTTTGATCAAGTCAACAACCGCCTCCAGCAGCTGGAGCAACGACCCGTCGCCGCCCCCGATGCCAGCTCCTCCAACACCTCCGATCGCCTCAATGCATTGGAGATCGACGTCGGAACCCTCAAGGACGACGCGCAGCTACAGCAAACCGTCACGCAACAACTGGAGCAGCGGATCTTTGCTGCCGCCACCAAACCGAGTTCGGCACCGCGCGAGACGACTCCAAAGTTCGATGGTCAGGATAACTTCTGCGATTCGACGAAGACGGACCCGATTCCATGGTTCGCAAGTTCGAGCTCAAGTTGCAGCTACACTATGCCAGCGAGGACAAGCATCACGCGTACTTAATACTCCCGGTCCGGGGGCGCGTGCCAAGCATAGTTGGACAATCTCTTGTCCAAGTAGGGGGTGGTAGCTGCCGACTTGTACACCAAGGTCAGCTGGGATGATCTAAGGGCGGCGTGGCATAAGCAGTTCCAAATAGAGTCGCCGCAGATCAAGGCAATGGACAAATTGTTGACCTTAGAACAAGGCATGCTGCCGAGTGACCACGCAGATATACTTGCATTTTACAATGCAAAAACCCGTGGCGTTTTCAACTACTACTCCTTTGCGGCTCCCCTGGCGGGCCTGAGTCGTATTATACACTTATTGTGGTCTTCATGTGGTCTTACGTTATCAACTAAATACAAACTTAGGTCTTTGAGAAAAACAGTGTATTGGTTGACTGGATTGCCGAGTACCAACGCTTGATATCCGTCCCAGACATTCAGATGGGCTTCAAGGTCGTCAAACACTACTTCATCACGAGGTCGTGTCCGACATTGGGCAACACCTTGACTCACGTCGAGGAGACCCTGACGACAACGGCGGAGCTCTTCGACAAGGCCGAGCAGATCATTGTCACGAACAAGGAGGCCAAGAACCTCAACCGTTCGTCTGCGACAGACCCGAGGAGAGATCAGCATCGACCGAAAGTGACCGTGGTCGCGGCGGCAACGCCAACCGACCCTTCTAGCGAGGCTGTGTCTGCCAATGAAGGGGAGAGACTCGCAGCCGCCCGGGATGTTGGCCGCCCTGGCAAAGGCCGAGGACGCGGCAAGACTAGGACAAACACCACATCTATCCTCGGGCCCAGCGCAGCAGCTCCAGCCCCATGGTCCCACTACGGTCTCTCCGAACGTGCGTACAAGCTACACACGAGATTCCGCTATTGTCTGTGGTGTAACAGTGATCTCCACGACACAATGGGTTGCCCGTCGAAAGGCAAGGGCAAGTCGGGAAACTGAGCACCGCTGGGAGTGAATCGACGACACTCTCGACGCCTTCGGAACCGGTCGCTTCGCGGGTGACCACCCTTCGTTCCGAGGCATATGCGGAAGTCGATAGTCCTCCTCTTCTATATTCTTATGAGGATTATGCTGCCCGGCTCGTTCCTACGCTGGGTACTCATGCTCAAGGACAAGACGTGTGTGCGGCATCTTTCCCGTCCGACAGTGGCAACTTATCGTCTTCAAGTGGTTCTTCACGGGATTCGGCGTGCGAGTTCAACATAGAGGTATTGGACCCGCTCACGTCCGAGGATTTCGCATGGCTTCCTCTCTCGACCACGGACCGTTTGCCGGGACTGCGATACGCAACATTATGCGCTCATCTTCACACATATCTATCCTTCTATGCACCACCAACTTCGCCGACGGAGGATAAAGTCGCGGTGGGGGACATCCTTGCGTATGTTACCAAGGTGGCCCGCGAGTTTCGCAAGCAGCGGTATGATGACAACAACGCACCGCTCCTCTATGTCCGCATCCAAGTTGGGCAAGCGCCCTGCAACGCTTTGCTGGATAGCGGAGCGACTCGCAATTTCATAAGCCAAACCTTTATGCAAAGGGTTGGCCTTGGCACACAAGTTTGGAGGAAGGCAAACCCGACGACGATCAAGTTGGCGGACGGAAGGACACATTGCCAACAACTTATCGACCGTTACATCGAGGCCGTACCGGTGTATTTCGCACCTCATGCATGTGAACCGGTGACGTTCGACATTTTGGACACGGACTTCGATATCATTTCGGGAATGTCTTGGCTTGCAAGTGCGTATCACACGGTCAACTTCCACCAGCGGACTCTTACCGTTCGGGACGCCTTCGGCGTCGAAGTGCCGTGTACTATTCCTCTTCCGCACCCTTCGATCCAGTGCCAAGTGGTGACGACCAAGTCATTCCGGGCTACTTGCGCTTACGAGCAGCCCGACGAGATAGGCCTATGCTTCCTACGGACCGTCGCGGTAGCCGATTCTTCCCCCACGAACTTGTCCTTGGACCCCCTTGTGGTGCGGTTGCTTGACGAGTTCACCGACATCTTCGAGTCACCTACCGGTGTGGTGCCGGATCAGCCGATCTCTCACGAGATCATTCTTGAGGCCGGTGCCGTGCTGCCGAAAGGCTGCATTTACCGCATGAATGAGGAGGAGCTTACGGTCCTCCGCACGCAATTCGATGACTTGTTGGACAAGGGCTGGATCCGCCCTAGTAGCTCCCCATATGGAGCGCCCCCTGCAGAGCTCCAAGCAACAACTTCAGATGTTTTCGCGCGCTACGAGCGCAAGATGCAAGGCAAGCCGGTATCTTCGGCTCCACGCCACACCCGCGGCCAGGTTCCACCTTCAGATCGTCAGCTTCGTCCTCGACCTGGCTTGACTTCATAAGGAGGGGGGGTTGTTACATGTTGTGCCTGCAAACGAGGGCCATTTTCAGGCCCTGGGTCGTTTCAGCCTGAAAGCCTGAAAACAAGGGCCTACAGGCCCTGTGTCGTTTCAGCCTAAAACAGGGCCCTCCAGGCCCTGAGTCTTTTCAGCCTGAAACGGAGGGCCATTTTCAGGTCCTCATAAGATCGACCTGCCCTGAAACT